GGGACACTGCTGTGCCCTGAGCTCCTGAGGGAGCTCCTGAGGGATCTGCTGTCTGCACCTTCCAGCACCATCCCATGCCAACATCTCCTGCTCCCAAACATCTGAGCATCACTGCAGGAGTTCTCTGAGGCCTGCCTTGTCCTCAGGTGACTCCTGTCTCCATGTGCCTTTCCTCCACCATCTCCCTCTGATGGGCTCTGCAGGGCCAAGTTGCAGTGCTGTATTAGGGGAAAAAAACTCTTGAAGGGCTTAGGGAAAGGCACGAGGATTTAAAGGAATAGAAGCTTCCCGGCCAAAATGGTTAAATCAAGTTATTCCAGGCTTGGATAACTTATGAGGCCTTGGTTAGAGGGTGCAAAAAAGTCACTCTGAAGGAGGAGAGACACAACTGGAAAAGGAGAAGCCTCCAATGCTGGGCACATACTGGTGGGCAAGATTCAAAGAAAAGAGAAAACTCCCAGAAAAAAGGACGAGGAGCAGCCTCTGTCCCAAAGGTGCTCTGCCCAGCCATGCCACCCCAGTCACTGAATCATGGAATGGTTTGGGTTGGAAGGGACTGGAAGCTCATCATGTTCCAATGCCAGCCTGTGACAGCTCCAAAATAATCAAAAATGGTTTTTCCACCCAACGTGTAAGTGGGGAATCAGTGCCACAAAACCCTGCAGTGCTGGAGCTGACAGACTCAGAAATCACAGACTGGTCCACTCTCACCCATTAAATTCAAACTCTGTTTCTCCTGGGAAGGTTCTGGTGCTCCAAAAGAAGGTGGAACCTCAGTGGGCGTGGGGCGAGCAGCCCCACGATCCAGGCATGGAGGGATGCTCCATTCTGCCACCAGGATTTCAAAGTGATCATTGCTGAGGGCTCCAGGCTGGGGTCAGGGTGAGGCAAAGCATCTCCCAAGCTTGGCACATCCCTGGAAAGACATCACATCCCTTTGTGGGCTTTGTGAGCCAAGGTCAGGGCCCTGCAGCATCTGGAGGCCAAGGGGGAAACTCCCAAATTCTTGGGCCAGGACACCTCCCTGGCCCCCTTTGCCACCTCCTTTGTCCCACAGCTGAATGCTTGGACAAGAAGGCTGTCCAGGAGCATTTGGACAATGCTCTCAGGCACTGGGTGGGATTCCTGGAGCTGTCCTGTGCAGGAGGGGCCTGAGGGGACAGGAGCTTGATCATGTTTGTGGGTCCCTTCCAACTCAGGACATTGCATGATTCTGTGGTCTGTGGAAGTGCTTGGCTCAGCAAGTGAGAGATGATGTGTGCTTAGGAGCTCCAGGAAGCAGCTCCTCTGCTGCCACCAGATCTCCCACAGCACACGGTGACTCCTCACTGCAGCCTGGTTCACACAGCTCAAGGCCACACAGAATATTGCAGAGCACTTTATTTTTGCTATTTTGTGTCAGTAAAGCGACCCTGTCACACGGGACCTCTGAGGGACACTGCTGGTGCAACTGCAGCACTAAAAACACCAACTGCAGCACTTTTAGTCAAGGGACCAAAACCACTTTTGACACCAGGCTGGCACTGGAACCCCATCCCTGCAGGTATCCCCAGTGAAAGCTGTCACTGGGCAGCCTGCCCTCAGCATGAAGCCAGCAGCCCTACCTGCATTCTGAGGGCAATGGAAAAACAAGGGAATTCAAGGAAGGAAATGCTGCTGCCGTGCCCATCCTGCAGCAGAGCCAGCTCTGTCAGTCACGCTGCTGCTGCCTGCTCACAGCCCTTCACCCAAGGGATGCCAGGGAAAACACCCTGCTCCTGGCATGGCTTTTGGCTGGGGACATGCCACATGTATCCAGCCTCTATCTGGGCGCAGGTCTGGGCACCACAGTATGAGAAACACCATCCAAAGGAGGGAGATGAGGATGATAAAGGGCCCACAGGAGCAGCTGAGGGCACATGGCCTGTCCAGCTGGAGCACAGGAGACTGAGGTCAGACCTCCCCAGGGGCTGCAGCTCCGATCTCTGCTCCCTGGGACCAGGGACAGCACTCAAGGGAATGGCTGGAGCTGTGCTAGGGGGATTTAGTCTGGGTATCAGGAAAAGGTTCTTCCCCAGAGGGTGGTGGGACACTGACCAGGCTCCCCAGGCAATGGTCCCAGCCCCGAGGCTGCCAGAGCTCAAGGAGCATTTGGACAATGCTCTCAGGGATGGGATAGCATTGTAGAGGTGTCTGTGCAGGGCCAGGAGTTGGACTGGATGATCCTTGTGTGTCCCTTCAACCCCAGGATATTCCAGGACTCCTCGGTTCTCCTGATCTCAGCACTGTGTGTAGGTTGCTGTGGACACAGTTGATTTCTGTGCCCCACTCAGCCTCACCCAGGTGTCAGCACCAGCCTGGTTGGAGGTGCCATGCTGCTGGTTCACAGAGGTGCCTTGTGGGGTTTTATATGCATCTAAAATCTTCCAGCATCATGTGTCACTTCTAGTTCCCTCTGCTTGAGGGAATAGCAGCAAACAGGGACAGAGAGAATGTCAATCAAGAGAGATCTGGAAAAGCAAATTGTTGGCCAGAGGAAGGCCAGGGAGGACAATGGGGGCAGTTTCAATCCTGCCACTTCTTGTTGGCTGTGCAGAGGCACTGGGCAGCACTGGGCTCTCTGTTCCCAGGCAAGCTCAGGTGTTCACAGGAGGCCACAGAGATGTTTTGAGGACTGGAGCCCCTCTGCTCTGGAGCCAGGCTGGGAGAGCTGGGGGTGTTCAGACTGGAGAAGAGAAGGCTCCAGGGAGACCTCAAAGCCCATCAGAGCCTAAAGGGGCTCCAAGAGGAGACTTTGGACAATGGCCTGGAGTGAAAGGACAAGGGGAAATGACTTCCTACTGCCAGAGATCAATGTTAGATGGGATATTGAGAAGAAATTTTTCCCTGAGAGGGTGGGCAGGCCCTGGCATAGGCTGCTCAGAGAAGCTGTGGCTGCCCCATCCCTGGAAGTGTTCAAGGCCAGGTTGGACAGGGCTTGGAGCAGCCTGGTCTATGGAAAGTTGTCCCTGCAGGTGTTGGGAATGAGATGAACTTTAAGGTCCCTTTCCACCCCAACCATTCCATGGTTCCAAAATTCTATGAAAGCTCATTCCTGGAGTTCAGACTCACCTCTTGGACCTGTACCACAGCTCTGCTCTGAACAGAAGTGAGACATAAATACTGCAGGTGTTGGTGTGCTGAGGGTAGAACTGAAAGCCAGGCCAGGCTTTGAGGGCAGGAGAGCCACCAGCTGCTTGGGGATCTGCAGGAAGATGTCTGGGGAGCCAGGCAGACCATCCACCACACTGAAGAGCCAAGCAGAGCAGGTCAGTGAAGCCTGGCTGGAATGGGACAAGCTTTATCCCAGCACTGGAGAAGGAAGTGATTCACTTGATGTTTCAGCCAGCCTTTGTGTTGATGAAGCAAACAACATGTTGGCTGTGTCCACAGGCCCTCCTGGGGCTGGAACGCTGGCCAAATGGTTTGCTGGGGTTTCTAAGGTACCACCCAAACAAGCAGCTCCCTGCCAGCCCCTCCTCCTCCTCTCCGGGTTTGAGGATGTTGGAGCTGTGTCGACAGAAGGGCAGCAGAGCACAGCTCTGATGGGGAGCAGGGAGGGAGCATGGGGGGCTCAGCCTGGAGAAAAGGGGACTCAGGGGGGACCTTCTGTCTCCACAGCTCCCTGACAGGTGGGTGCAGCCAGGAGGGGGGGTGGGCTCTGCTCCCAGGGAACGAGGGACAGGACAAAGAGAAATGGCCTCAAGCCAGCACTACTAGAGGAACTTTATGCTGGATATTAGGGAAAATTTCTTCACCCAAAAGGGCTGTCAAGCACTGGCCCAGGCTGTCCAGGGCAGTGGTGGAATCTCCATCCCTAGAGGAATTTAAAAGACTTGGGGACATGGGTTAGGGGTGGACTTGGCAGTTCTGGGGAAATAGTGGGACTTGATGGACTTAAGGGTGTCCAACCTAAATAATTCTTTAATTCTGTGATTTTAATTAAATGTGAACCATGGGCAAGTCTGAATCAAGGTCCTTGTGCTGTAAGCCTTTGACACCCTGGCAATGTGGGTCTGTGGGGACTGTCCGGGTCTCCTGGAACCCAGGGGCATTCCTGGACAGAAAGCAGTGGGACCCTGAGTGTGTTCTGGACAGTCACTCCTTTTCCCAGCCTGTATCTACCTAGTTTGGCTCCACAGAGGCCATGGGTGACCATGCTGAGGGCTTTGCTGAAGTGAAGGCTCTCCCCTCATCCCTACAGCCAGTTTTCTTGCCATTCCAGGTAGCTGAGTCCTTCAGATGTGATGTGAAATCCCTGATGATGGCTCCTGTCCCATCCTTCAGGTGTTTGGCAGGGATTGCTGGGAGGATTTGCTCCATCGCTTTCCCAGGGTCAGAGGTGACATCGAGCAGGCTGTAGTTCACCTCCTCAAAGCTGGGTGTGAGATTTCCTTCTCACACTCACCAGGAACCTCCTGATTGCTACAACATTCCAAAGACACCAGAGAGGAACCTTGCCAGGGCATCATCCATCTCCCTCAGCATCCTTGAGTGCATCCCACCTGCTCCTATGGGCTTGGGTATGTGTCCCCTAATCCATTTTCTTCCAGGATGGAAATACCTCTCCACTGCTTGGAACAAGGAACTGGAAGTCTTGAGGGCCTCACTGGCCACCAAGAGCCTGGCTGCAGGAAGCCCCTGCTGTGTTGCCAGCACTCATGGGCACTGCTTCCCAACCCGGCATCTCCTGGACATGTGTGGGGTGGGAGCATCCAGGGTGCTGTGAGTCACCTTCTGCTAGAAGGAACTTGAGTCTGTTTTGCCCCTGGCAATCTGCTGAGCTGAATCAATGCAATCTTTGAAATCTACTGCCCTTGACAGATGTGATCTCAATAAATTCTGGTTTCCTTCCTCATTCTAGTTCCCCTCAGACCATGTCCTGGCAGACGTGGGGTTTTCCAGGATGTGCAAGCTCATGGATATAGAAACGGGTACATCCACCAGTGCCTGGATTTCCAGTGGGCTGAGAAATCTCATGGATGCCCTGTGTGGGAGTACTCTGGCACTCTACAGGCTGCCCGCTGCTGCCAGAGCTTCTTTCATTTTCACTTTTCTGCGCGCTTTTTTGTGCAGCTCCACCCGAGCTCCAGAAGCCCGCACGTCGCGGAGGCTCCGGGCGTGTGTCTGCAGCAGCCTCGGGAAGGAGCCCCAGCTGCCCAGGCGGGAGCGCAGAGCTCGGGAACCGCAGCGCAGGAACCCGGGGCCGGCGGCCGGAAACTGCTTTGTGAGTGCAGCCAGAGCAGTGACTGCGGAGCAGGGGGGCTGGCATCCGTCTGGGAGCGGGGTGACCAGCCAGGCCGTGTCTTGCCGAGCCCATTTGGGCACAGGGACAGCTCTAAGGTGGGAAGCGCGGGGAAGCCTCCCCAAAGGGTTGTGCGCTTTGGGATGCTCAGCGAGCGCTGGGTGCACGCATCCCCTGATCTGCTCTTATCCGCTCCCACAGTGCTGCCGTGGGTGCTGAGGACGAGCTGCTGCTGACCCCCTGTCCGCCGCAGATGTCCCGGGAGCCGTGGCGGGCGCGGGCGCGCTGTGCCCCGCTGATCCCGCAGGCCCGCGGCGGGCGGGCGCAGCGCGCCGTGTACGTGCTGCTGGGGCTGTGTGCCGGGGCTCTGCTCCTCGCAGGACAGCCCCTCGTGCCCACCGCCCGCAGCCTCGCCTTCCACTTTGCCACCCTGCAGATCGGGGAGCTGCTCAAGGGCACCTGCTACCTGGCCGAGGAGATCTTCCATCTGGACTCCAGGTGAGCCAGCGGGGCTGGCTGGCTGCCTGCGGCGCTCCTGGGACCACCCTGGGGACAAGGGCGTGGGATGTGGTGGGGTTTGCTCCTGGTCTCTGTGCCCACACCTGCCCTCTGTGGCAGTGATGTACTGTGCCCAGCAGCACATGCTGCCCTCTGTCACCCTCCTGTCCTTCTCATCTCTTGTTCCCTTTCCCACCTGCCCAGTTCCCCCAGATGTCCATGTGTCCGTGTGTCCTTTCCGTCCTTTCTCTGGGGAACAGATCTTGGCCCCAGCCTTTCCCCACCATGCAGTGCTGGAGGGCAGGGGGCTGTTCTCTCCCTTTGCTGTCCAGGGTGACATTCCATCTGCTCCCTCTGAGTCCCACGGGTGCTGCAAGGCACCTAAGCCCTCTCCTGGCTGGGTACACTGGGGTGTGCTGGGCAGGGTCCCACACTGCTCTGTAGTGCTCTGGAAGCTTGGTGGCACCCAGGAGATGGGAGCAGCCCTGGCCATGGCTGCTGAGGTGGGGTAGGTGGCCACCAGCCTGACTCCTGTCTCCCTCTCCCACCCAGGCACCGTGGCAGCTTCTGGAGGGCCCTGAGCAGCTGCTTCCCCCCACGCTGGCACGGGCCCATGCTGCTCGTCTGTGGCTCAGCCTACGTGGCTCTCCTCGGTGATGGGCAGCCACTTGGCCTCCACCTCATCCTGGCCAGTCTGTGCCAGCTCGTCATCCTTGCCCTGGGGCTCCAGGTAAGGTTCCCACACCCCCAGCCTGGCTGGCTGCCCGGGGAACCCTTCAGCCCTGAGCAGCCATGGGGGGCACGTAGCCAGCTCTACACGGCCTCTGCATGTCCAGCCCACCCAGAGTCAGCCTGGTGGGAGGAGCACTCTCAGCTCAGTCCTGCAGAGCTGATCTCCTTGGCCCCGTGCTGCCAGGAGTGTTGGCAGGAGGGCCAGGCTGCCCCCTAATGAACACAACCATTCCAGGGGATGGCATGGCCCCCCCGACACGAAAAACAGGGGTATTTTAAATCTGTCAGTCAAGCTGGTGCTTGAGGGGAAAACAGAGCCTGTGTGTTCTCAATTCTCAGTGTGGTGTGGGGGCAGAGCCAAGCCCCAGGTGCCTCTGCAGCAGTGGGAGGGCTCTGCTGTGCCCCAGCAGTGCTGGAAGGGTCACACAGGCTGCAGGAGGTGCTTCTGTCAGGTACCTGTGGGACAGGACACCCATCTCCACCTAAATGCACACACAGAGCTGGCAGAGGCCATTGGGAATCCCACCATCGGGCACTGGGGTGTCTCCTCTGCCGTGCTGGAGGCACAGGGCAGATGCACAAGCTGCACTGGGACACAGGATCCCAGTGGAAGGTGCAGCCAGGGAAATGCCTGGCTCACTCCAGCCCCAGTTCCCTCCTCTGTGGGGGCTGTGGGGGCTCTCAGGGGCTCTGCCCTGCATGGTGGGGGAAGAGGCTGGTGGGGTTGTTCACTCTCCAGCTCTCTTTGGACTTCTTCAGTCCCTGTGGAGAATTGACTGTTACAGAAGGGCTCAGGTGGCAGCTGTCATCACCTTGTCTGTCTGTCCTTCCCTCCACAGAAGCCCTCAGCAGTGGAGATGTCTGAGATGTGCGAGAGGTCCAAGCAGAATGCTGCTCATGGGCTTGCCTGGTCCTTTTATGTTGGGTACCTAAAAATAGTCCTGCCACGTACGTAGCTGTTTCCCTGCATTCCCATGCCTACAGATAGAAATAGCTCCTAATAACAATCCTCCCACTTTTACAGTGTTAGCAGGGGAATGGGGAGCAAGGCAGAATGCAGCTGTACTCACACCAGGCACCTCTGCCTGATGCTCTCTTCCACCAGGGGTGAAAAAGTCCATGGAGGAATTCAGCAGAGCCAATCCCAACCTGCCAGCATGCAGGAAGACCTGGAAGCTCCACATCTTGATCCCTCTGAGCTGTGATATCTATGATGACCTGGAGAAAGCTGACAGCAATATCCAGTATGTGACAGAGCTCACTGAAACCATCCTGGCCCGAGCTGGCATCAAAAAGAGGGTCTACAAACACAGCCTCTATGCAATCACGGATGAAGAAAACCAGGTATGCTGAGAGCAGCATTGGGAGCATCATCCCAAAAGCCTTGCTGGCCCCAGAAGTGACCCTAAGGACAGCAGACTGTCACCTCTCCTGTTAGATACTCCCAGCTTTCACCAGGCTTCCATGAGATGGAGAGATCCCATTCCTGTAGCACTTCCTGCTGGCTGCCTCCTCCCAGGCTGGGCTGCAGGGATGGTGGGCTTGCTTAACCCCTCCTGGAGCTGACTGAAGTCCAGAAAACAGTAGAAAACTGAGCAGGAAAAAGCAGATGTGGGCTACAGAGCATCACTTCCCATAGGATGAATGTTTCCTTGTGTTGTGAAGAGGTGCTTGAAGATGTCTGTGTGAGCCATTATTTGACTCCCTCCTTTCCCCCAGTCACCCCTTTTTCTAGGCTGGTGAGCCCTAAATCTCTCCAGCTCACATTGCATTCATCTCCTCCCACATCTCTGGACAGACTTGCCCCTGTCCCTTCCCCTTGGAGGAGGGAACACCCTGGTGCTGTGGAGACATGGGCAGAGCTCTGCTTCTCACCTGGGTCCCCTGGTTTGCCTTTGGCAGTGGCTGAGCTCTGAGCTGCAGTTTTTAAAGCCCAGCCTGCAGGGGCCCCGAGCCTGTCCTGCCCTGCTCCGGGGGAAGCACAGGCGGCCGCGGGTTTTTCCTGCCGTGCTGCACGCACTGATGCTGTGTTCCTTCTGCCAGGCTCCTGCTGAGTCACTCTGCTCCCTGGGAGCTCCAGCAGCTCTGAGCCTGCACTTGGCCTTCCAGTAATATCTGCCCCTCAGCTTCCTGCCCAGTCCCTCACAGTGAGCAGGGCCCAGGGAAGGCACCTGCCCCAGGGCACGGCAGTAACTGCCTGCCAAGGCTGGGAACTTCCTGCTTCTCTGCATTTACCTGGGATCACATCCCTCTTCCTTCTAATTCACTCCATTAAACGTTCCAGTTTACCCAGTGTAAGACTTACTGGTAACACAGCTCCTCCTTGGCATGTTTATGGCTTTATGAGATTTCTCTTTGTTTCTTTGCTCAGCCTCCTTCCAGCTGTGCCTCCACCTTTCCAGTGTTTATGCTCTGCCCTCCAGCTCTCTGTTAGGATGCTCAGACTTAGAATAATGGAATCACAAAATATGCTGGTTTGGAAAGGACCAACAAAGATTATCAAGTCCATCTGTCCAATGCTTGGGCCTGCACAGACACCCCAACAGCCCCACCCTGTACCTGAGAGCATTGTCCAAGACCCCCTGGAGCTCTGGCAGCCTGGGGGCTGTGACCATTCCCTGGTCAGTGCCCCCCAGTACCCTCTGGGGGAAGAGGCTTTTCCTGATCTCCAATCTAACCCTGCCCTGATACAGCTCCAGCCATTCCCTGGGTCCTGTCACTGGTCACAGAGAGCAAAGATTGGTGCTGTCCCTCCACTTTCCTTTGTATAGCAGAAAGCAACCAAGAAGGTGTGATCACAGGGAAGGGATGTCTCCCTAGGGGACCAAATTCCATGGGGAAGATCATCCTCCAGGCTGCTCTTATGAGCAGTGACAAGCCAGTGGTTGCCCCTCATGGGCAAAGGCAGCTCCCTGAGCCCACCTGGCAGAGGGGACACCTGGACCTGTCAGGCCAGCTGCTCTTTCCCTGCTCTGCGTGAGGCAAGGGGACACTGGGGCCAGACCTGGTATCCCTGTCCCAGTGCTCCCAGTGCCAGACAGGCCAAGGAGCTGAGAGGTCGAGTGCTGTGCCCAGTGCCAGGGTCTCCCAGCAGCCCTTTGCCAGTCCTCCTGTCCCCATGTCTTGTCCTTCCACCCCTGCAGCTGTGGCACTGTGCTGTGGAATATGCCACCCCGCTGCAGACCCTCTACGCCATGTCCCAGGATGAGTGTGCTGCCTTCAGCCGGGAGGAGCGTCTGGAGCAGGCCAAGCTTTTCTACAGGACCTTGGAGGAGATCCTGAAAGGCTCCAAGGAGTGTGCAGACACATACAGGCTCATTGCCTACGAGGGTGAGTGAGGGAAAGGGGCTGGGGTGCCCAGGACAGTGGCTGTGCTCTTCTAGCCCCGAGTGACCTGGAGCAGTGTCTGTGCAGGGCTTGGCTGATGTCCCCAGTCAGGGGGCCATGGTGGCCCCTGCTGCCACGGGAGGAAGGGAGGGGCTGCATTCCCACATGAAATAGGAATATCACTGAGCATGGCATCCCTGGCTGAGTGAGGGAGGGCATTGTCACACTCTTCTCTGGGCTGGGGCAGCCTCACCTTGAGCCCTGGGGCAGGTCTGGGCACCACAGTATGACAAAGATCTAAAGCTGTTAGGGAGTGCCCAAAAGAGGGACATGGGGGTGGTGAAGGGCCCAGAGGGGCCACATGAGGAGCTGCTGAGGGCACTTGTCCTGTCCAGCTGGAGCACAGGAGACTGAGGTCAGACCTCACTGGAGGCTGCAGCTCCTGCTGAGGGGCAGCTCTGATCTCTGCTCCCTGGGACCTGGGACAGGACCCAAGGGAACAGCTGGAACTGTGCCAGGGGGATTTAGTCTGGGTATCAGGAAAAGGTTCTTCCCCCAGAAGGTGGTCAGGCACTGACCAGGCTCCCCAGGGCATGGTCCCAGCCCCAGGACTGCCAGAACTCCAGGAGCATTTGGACAAAGTTGTGGGACACAGTGTCTGTGCAGGGCCAGGAGTTGGACTGGATAATCCTTGTGGATCTCTTCCAACTCAGGGTATTCCATTATTCCATAATTATAAAGACTTCTTGCTGTGGGTCTGAGGAGCAGGGAAGGTGGTGGCAGCACTGGTTGTCCCAGCTGAAGTCCCCAGAGGGACCTGAGATAAGCTGTGTGCTGCAAGCATTGAGTACAACAGCAGGCACCCAGGGCAAGCAGCCACTCTCTTCACTGTTGATGTTCCTGGAAGAAGTTGCTGGGGCTGTCACGCCCTCCCCAGCAGTGGGATGAGTGTGTGCTGGCTCAGTGCCATTCCTGCTGACAGGGGATGGGAGGGAGCGAGGCTTTCCCTCATTCCCATCATCTTTTCATCTCCCATCGCCTCACCTCCACCAGATGAAATCAGCATCTTGCTTTAATGAATGTCAGTTTTTTCAGAGGAAACTCAGCACTCTCCCTGATGGGGAGAAGCATTTCCATGCAGCAAGGCAGTTCCCATCACAAGCACTACTGGGAATCCAGCACATAGTGCCTGTAATTTTATACTCCTCCGCACACTTTGTGTTTGAACTTTTTCCCTCTGCCATGCAGAAAGCGGGAAGTAAAAGCTGTATTTTGACAGTGCAGGAAATAATGCATATTTTGGGGCATCTCACAGCTCTGCCTCAGGACAACCAGTGAAGGAAGGTTTGTCTCTCTTCTGTTCCAGAGCCAGAAGAAGCAGAGACCCACTTTTTGTCCAGAGAGATTGTGTGGCACTTGCGGCAGGAGCATCACGAGGAGATTGCCGTGCTCGAGCAGAGCCACCCGCACAGCCCATCCACGGCCCTGGACTCGGCAGAGCTCAACCTCCAGATCAGTGTGTCAGACCTGCCAGACCTGCCACAGCCCCTGCGCACTGATGGCTTCTGACACAGCCCCTTGGGGCTTGGGTCACCCTTCCCCAACCCCCTTCCTGTTGGAGCATGTGCTACCCATGGCTGCAACCCCCAGCTCCCACCCAAACCTCCTGTGTACCACGGTTACTGGAGCAGCTGACTCAGCCCACAGCCCTGTGACATGCTTCCCATTTTCTTTGTTATGTACAGCTGTGATGTTCTTCTGTGGGTGTACTGTTTTTTTTATCTGTTTTAATTTGTGTTATATAAAGCACTTTCCTCTCTGGGACAAGTTGCAGTATCCTAAATTTTGGACACAATGTGCAATCTGCCCCGTGTGGGATAGGAAAAGGTTTTTCCCTCAGAGGGTGGTTGGGCACTGAACAGGGAATGGTCATGGCTCTAAGGCTGCCAGAGCTCCAGGAGCGCTTGGATGATGCTGTCAGGGACAGGGTGGGATTGTGGGGTGTCTTTGCAGGGTCAGGAGTTGACCTGGATGATCCTTGTGGGTCCCTTGCAGCCCAGGATATTCCCTGATTCTGTGATACGCTGTGTGTGGATGGGGCTTTGGAAATGCCAGTCACAAGTGTGCCTGTGTGTGCTGGGACAAACACACCCAGCCCACGTGGCCAGACTCGTGGGGCAGTTCTGCAGGCACAGGGAGCCTGTGCAGGACTTGCAGGGGAGCCTCAGCCTGACCAAAAGTGTTGGTGGCAGAGCAGGCTCACCCAGGGCAGGCACAGGCTGGAGCTGACACAACAGTCTTGCTCCTGCCCTGGGCTGCCCAGCTCCTTTTAGAATCACAGAACCCTGGAATCACTAAGGCTGGAATGGCCCTCTAAGGTCATTGAGTCCAACCATTAACCCAGCACTGCCAAGACCACCACTAACCCATGTCCCCAGGTGCCACATCCATGTGTTTTTTAGTATTTCCAGGGGACAGTGACTGTCCTGCACAGCCCATTCCAATGCCTGACAATGCTTTCACTGAATAAATTCTTCCTGATGTCCAAACTGAACCTCCCCTGGCGCAGTTCAGGGCCTTTTCCTCTGGGAGCACAGCCCCACCTGGCTGTTAAGGAGTTGCAGAGAAGGAGATGGTGCCACCTGAGCCTCATTTTCTCCAGGCTGAGCCCCCCCTCAGCTCCCTCAGCTGCTCCTCATCTTGTGCTCCAGATCTTTCCCCAGCTCCATCCCCTTCCCTGGACATGTTCCAGGCCCCCTCAAAGTTTTTCTTGTCATGAGTGGCCCAGAACTGGACACAGAATTCCAGGTGCCTCACCTGTATATGTAGGACTCCACCTTTCATGCACGTGGCAGATCTCTCCCCAGCTCCAGCCCAGTGAGCTTTCAGGAGAGATTTGGCTGCATGTTGGTCCTGCTGGGACTGGGAATTGGAACCCATTTCAGGATGAAGTAAAACCTTAATCTGCAGCCTAATCTCTGGGTACTGCATCTGTGCAAAAATGGCAAAAACGACAGATGAAGGGCTGTGAAGGGAGGGCTGGGACAGCAAAGGCCACTGCAAAGAGGCAGCTGGTTTGCAGAGGTATCAGAAATCTTTGCTGAGGTCTCCAGGATGTGCCAAGTGCCTGGTGCTGGACTGACTGGAGAGAGAAGACAGCGGGTGAGGGACCTGCTAGGAGACACCCTGAGGGCAGGGAGCAGAGTGGGGGTCTGGCCCTGGAGTGTGGGCAGGACATGGGTCCTGGTCACCTGAGCAGCGTTCCCAAGGGCACAGAGCAAATGCTGTGGGCATCTGCTGAGATGCAAGGGAAATGTGTCAGGGTTGAGCTCAGCAACATAGGAACAGCCAGTTCCAGCAGCTGTGTGAGCAGCAAAGCCACTGCAGCCCCCGAGGGCTCAAACCCATCCTTGTGGGGCACAGCTCAGTGTTCTCCTTGATTTCCTGTTCCCTCCTCACATGGAAGCTTCTTATCTCGCCCATCACTGCAGCCAGGCTGGGCTGGAGATGCTGATAAGCTCAGGCCATATTAGAAGGGGACAGGTTGAAAGGCAGGCACAAGCCCAGAGGATATCTGACAGCACAACCTTGTTCCAGCAGCAGCCGTGCTGCCAGCCAGAGGCTGAGCTCCTGCCACTGCTCAAGGGCACACAGGGCCAAGGTGAAAGCCTTTGCTGGCAGCAGGAACTGGAGGCAGGGCTGATCAGAGGCAGGAAAAATCCAACCTCAGAAGTGGCAGCTTGCTGCTAAGCTGGCAAACACAGGATAACCAGTTTCCCCTTGAGCTCTCCAGCAGCACAAATAGCTCAGTTTTAGTGCTAATCACAGCATCCCACAGCAGGTCTGACACAGACTCAGGACTGTCAGCTTGGAGGCAGACCCATCCTGATCCTTGGGGAGCAGCAATGCCACCACAGGTCAGCAAGGGGAGCTGAGCACGTCCAGGGGCCACCACAATCCAGCAGGTCCCAGGTGCAGCAGGGAGGGAGGTTCACAGCCAGGGTCGTGCTGAGCAAGGCACAGAATGGCTGCATCCTCCCTCCAGCCAGGGCTGGGGCCCAGCTCAGCTTAGATGCAGCAAGAACAGGGCTTCTCCCAGCCCTCCCTCACATCCCAGCTGTTTTCCCACCAGAAATCCCAGGAAGCACCAGCAGTGACCCACTCATGCTGCCCCACGCAGCACAGAGCCTTAGTGTGTGAGCTCAGGGGGCTGAGAGCTGAGCTCCCTCACAGAGCCCCTGAGGGCAGGCGCTCAGCTTCTACCATGACCTAGAAAAACTCATCTTCAAGGAATCCCAGAATGGGTTGGGTTGGAAGAGACCTTAAAGCTCATCTCATTCCACCCCTGCCATGGCAGGGACACCTCCCACCATCCCAGGGTGCTCCAAGCCCCATCCAGCCCGGCCTGGGACACTGCCAGGGATCCTGGAGCAGCCACAGCTGCTCTGGGCACCCTGTGCCAGGGCCTCAGCACCCTCACAGGGAGGAATTCCCTCCCAACAGCCAATATAAACCTACTCTGACATGTTGTCCTGCAGCTGGTGAGGCTGGCAATGGGCTTACCTCTCTGGAGGTGACAGCAGTGACTGGCCACAGGGCTCTGCTGCCCTCACATGTTTTTTACCAACACCCAAATTTTCTAAGTCAGATTTGCACTAAGTGGCACTTTCCAAGTGTTGTGATTGTGTTCCAAGAAAGGCCCTTGCAGTCACTCATGTAGCTTTATTTATTATTTTATTTTATTTTATTTTATTTATTTTATTTTTACCTTTCATGAAGTAAAAATCCTGCTTGAAAAGCAACTGAGGAAAATGCCAGGTTCACTAAATCCACACCTGCCTTTGGGTAAAGTTTGGAATCCTGCAAAGCAAGGAAACAGCAGCTCAGCCTTCAGCAATGGTTGGATTTAAACTGGCTATTAATATTAATAACAATATTAATGCTTCTTCTTTGGGCTGCACCTGCCACTGCCTCCCGAGTCCCTTTCCTTTCCTTTCCCCAGTGCTCAGGGGGAGCAGTGTAACATACACTGGGAATGTATCTAAATTACCTTGGAGAGCAGAGCCCAGAAGGCTTCACGGAGCTGCCTCCGTGCTGGCGTAGCACCCATGAGAGTATCACACACATAACCCCCAGCACCACAGGTTTTAATTAAATTGTGCCGAGCCCCTGAAACCAACATTCCCCACAGTTGCTCAGTGGTGCCTGCAGTTCTGCCGTGCCTGTTTCCCGAGCTGGAAGTGCTGCAGGTTGGATTTCACCTGCTCCTTCAGCAGCTGTGTCAGCTGGAGCACACCCCAGCACAGCTCTGGGCTCACACCAGAGGTGCCACAGCCCCAGGTTGTGCCAGGGACTGGATATTGAGGAAAAGTTCTTCACGGAAAGGGTTGAGCACTGTCACGGGCTGCCAGGGCCGTGCTGGACTCACCGTCCCTGAAGTGCTCCGAACACGTCTGGGTGTGGCTCGTGGGAGCTGGCAGCTTCTTAATGATTTTTTGGCTTGGCAGGGCTGCGTTGATGGCTGCATTGGATGATCACAGAATTGTTTAGGTTGGAAGAGAACTCTGAAGTCATTTTTGTTCTTTCCTTATTCTGTTATTTCTGGGAAGGAATGTGGAAATTCCTGCCTGTAGCTGAGGAGTCCCCATGAGAGGGACTCCCACAGACACTGAGATAGGTGAAAAGCATCATTGTTTGTTCAGTAATTACTTTATTACCATTAATATAATTTACTATCAATGTTGCTTCAAAAATATTGCACTGCTCTAGTAGCGAGAGCTACCTACACTGTGTAGTAAAGAATTTGGAATAAGATCTTTTAGCGCAATCCTTACAATTATTAATTTAAATATTTTATTTGTAGAAATATTTTTGGGTTGTCATCCTTAATCCTGAAGGACAAAGTCACATAAAAGCTCAGTTGCACAGCTTTAGACACAAACCACTGGCCAAGCCTAGGACTGGACCAGACTCCTGATGGAGGAAGAGCCCAGGGAAACTGCAGAGCTTGGGACCTCCATCCATGCTGCCCCCAGGGGTGACACGGTGGCTGGGTCCCGGAAGGCCTGACGGCGCTGGGGGGCGGCCATGAGCTCTGTCAGCCCCGTCGGGAGGGGCCGGTGCCCGGCGGGGCCGCTGTGGGGCCGGTACCGCGCCAACGCCGGTACAGGCCTCAAGAGGCAACACCGCCCCCCCCAATATGGCGCCGGCCGGGCGGCGTGAGGGAGCAGGGGGCTGTCACGTGACTCTCCTCCAGCCAATCAGCGTCGGGTACCGCCGCCGTGGCGGGAAGGGGCTCGCGGGAGGAGTCGCTGCCCCCGTGACAACCAATCAGCGGCGGCCTGGCTGCCGTGATGTCACGTGCCTCCCCGCCAGCCAATCGGCGGCGGGCGGCGGCGGCGCCAAGATGGCGGACGATAAGGTGAGCGGGGAGGCCCGGGGCTGAGGGGCCGCCGGGTTGCGGGGAGGCCGCGCCGGTTCCTCCCGCGGGACGGGGGCGGGAATCACCTCCGTGTCTCCCGCAGGACTCGCTGCCTAAGCTGAAGGACCTCGCCTTCCTGAAGGGGCAGCTGGAGAGCCTGCAGCGCAGGGTGGAAGACGAGGTGCAGGCCGGCGTGGGGCAGGTAACGTGCGGGCTCAAGGCGGGCCGGCCGCGCCCTCTGAGAGGGACTGGTGGGGGGGAAAAACAAATCCCAGGGAAAAAAAACAACCCACAACTCACCCTGGGGCACGTCCCGTGTCGCCCCCTCCCCGGTGCCGCCCGGCCGTGCCTCACTGTGCTCT